CTCTTTCTCTCTTTTGAAGCATTTTCCATTCAGGACTTCAGGGCCAACCACAGCTGGTGCTGCCTCGCCCTTAATTAATCAAGGCAGCATCTAAATCACAGGGATACAGGGATGCTCTCTCCAGTCCTTGGCTGGAGCTGGGTGGTCTCTCGGCTGGGACTTCTTCACTGGCCACTCATCGCAGCAACACGGGGCAGCAACAGAGAGGAAAGATCAATAAGAAACTCTCATGCCAAAAAAAACTGATTAAAGGAAATTAAAGCTCCATTTTAAGGCTGCTAGACATCTCTGGGAATTATTTTTTTTTTTCAAAGGACAAAAATCCAACTATTTCTTGCCACTAAAGGTTTGGAAGAAAACAAGTTTTAGCAGCAGAAAAAGGGGGATGGACTTGGCCCCGCTGTTCTCGACGCACCTGGTAATTTTGAGGATGGTGGTTTGCGCTTTGTTCCACCCACCCCACCTCAAATGCCATCACCGGCAGTCACCAGCAGCGAGCGCACGTGTAGCTTCACCCTTTCTGGAAAACTGACCCATTTTTCTCTGCTCAAGCCTCTTAGCATGCAGCATGACATAACCAAAGAGCTTTGCGCTCGTTGTCCTCACAAGCCATCGCTCTCCTTGTCCTCTGAAGTGCCAACTCATCCTGCAGCTCACCGGGAGCTAACGTGATTTTTTTTCTCCTTTTCCCTTGGAGTTTGCCCTCAAAGAGGAGATCACCTCAGTTGTTGTCCGTGTTTGACCTCTGGCCTTTTTCCATTAGGTCTTTCCCAGACCAGTGGGAGAGCTGGGAGTCGTCATTAAGAGCAGCACATACCTGCAGCACCACAGGACAATTTTAAATATCTCGGAGGTTTTCAATACTAATTGTCGCTGCTAGCTTTTACACAAATGCCTTTATTACCACAAAATGCTATCTAACTTTTCATTTTGAACTTTATCCTCCAAGATAAACCCTGTGGTTCTGGGGAAGGTGGTCTCTGACCTGTAGGTCTCTCCCGGGCAAAGTATTCTGAAGCCAACAGCAATGCACTGTGATGGCACCTCAGTGTAGACACCTCAAGAGGCTTTATCTTCCCATAGACCTCTTGTGAAGAACCACCACTGGCCTGGCCTCAGGGAAACCACAGGTTAAACTCACTGCAGTGTGTGGGAGCTGCCATGGGGCTGGTGCAGCTCCACCAGCCCCCTCAACTGTCATCCATCGGGGCTCAGCAAGAGCTTGCATGGAGACTGCATTGAGAGGGGGGTGAGGGGGGCACCACCACAATGGGCTTTATTGAAGAGGTGAAGGGTCTCAGCAACAAGTTGGGTGGTACTGAAGGGTTCCCAGCACCAAGTTGGGTGGTATTGAAAGGGTCCCAGCACCAAGCTGGGTGGTACCGAAGGGGTCCCAGCACCAAGATGGATGATACTGAAGGAGTCTCAGCACCAAGGAGGGTGATGCTGAGGGGATGCCCCACCAGGATGAACACCAGCCCTGGTCGCGGGCATCCTCCCGGCACGTCCTGCCCGAGCCATACCTGGAGCATCAGTGACATCTGCTGCCGTCTCTGGGCATCGCCGCCGGTCCCTCCACGGCTCCGGCCCGGCTCCGCGGGTCCTTTCTGGGACCCGCAGGGTGCTGGGGTCCCCGGAGAGGCGAGGCCACCAATCGCATCCCCCCGCTCAGGGCTGGGGTGTGGGTCCCCCGGAATCAGAGCCCCCAACCCAGGGGCTGCCCGCATCCCGGCGTCCCATCAGCGCAGCAGACACCTAATGAGCTGCTGGAAATCGACTCTAAAAACGCTAAAATAAGGAAAAAAAAAATTAAAAAGAGACATTTTTTTTTTGCTCGGGTTTTGCAGCAGCCGAGGGGGTTGTGTGTGTTTTCTTGCAGTGGTGCAGCAGGAGCTGGAGCCACACGGTGGGAACGGCCCCTTCTCCCTTCCAAGTCTTAACATTCCGTGATTCTGTGATGGGCTTGGGTGTGAAAAAGAGCACCAGAAGCTTCGTTTCTCCTGGGGTGGGGTGACTTTTCGAGGGGACCTGCAAAAGCCCCCCCAAAAAAGCAGCAATCACCTCCACACACGCCAGTTTTTCCCCAGCGGCGTGTGCCCCTCGTGTTCGCGTCGAGGAGGCGGAAAGCCCGCAGAAACCCGTGAAGGATTTGAACGCAGGCTCTTCCCCCACACTCACATCAACCCCGTTACCCCGAGCTCTGCAGGGCTAGGACCATCTCCCACACCTCAAACCCCTCCTCAACCTCTTGACCCCAACTTCCCAGCGCTCCCAAGCCCACCAAGATCTCCCACAGCCAAGATAAGCACCCGTCGTTGCCAGGGTTCACATCACCACGGGGAATGAAAGAAGCCAAAAAACATCATGCTTGGGTGTTGGGGTTTTTTTTTGGTTCTGTTTTTTTTTTTTCCTTTTCCAGTAGTCTCACTTTATTAGATACCACATGAAGAGAGGGTGTTGTGCTGCATGCAGCGGAAGACTGGAGTAGTTCTAGTTTTTGTGTAACATTTTCTTTTTCTCCTAATAGTTGTAAACTGATATTTTGCTGTAAAATCACTGCATGCAAGTTTGAATGCAAACAGCAGTAGAAGAGGCTTTTTTCTTTTTTTTTCTTTTTTTTTTTTTACCATTCCCAATCCATATGCACATGCTTTATTTACAATGAAAAGAAATCATTCAGGGCAAAAATTACCATCAGACAAACTGAGAAGAGCGTGGCAAACAAAGATGAGGACTCTGGCTTGTACAATACTAAGAGTGGGGGTGGCAAGTTGCACTTCTTTATTTTTATGGGTGCAAAGAGATAACATGAATATTGTTTGTCTGAAGGGAAAGCAGGCTGAGCAGAGTGCCTCTACAGGACATGGGTAAAGGCAACCTTAATTTAATTAGTTTAAGGAGGCTGAGCTACTACACATCTGGAATAAATTAGAAAATTGCTCCGATTTCTTTTTTAAGGGAATTTCAACCCCTGCCAGGCATTTCAGCTTGGAAGTGCAATGTGCCCACCTGCTGCTCTGAGAGGTAGAGGCAAGGGTTGGGCAAAGGTCTGGGGCAAATCCAACACTCTGGAGGGGCTGACAGCAGCATCCTACATTGCACAAAAGGGAAATTTTTCCAGGTGTCCTCTCTCGTTACCCTCTTCCATGCAACGCACCCCGAGCAGCTCCCATCTCTGCGGCCACGTCGCAGCACGGGAGTGATGGAGGAGCTGCTCCAGGGGGGGCTGAACGGCGTGCAGGATGCCTACACTGGTTTAGGTTTGCTTTCCCCATCTGTGTGGTCCTAGGGTGGAGAATGCAAAGCCCCAAGCTGGGCTGGAGGGAAAAGGCTGCTCTACATCACACATTGAGGTTTGCGTCACGCAGCCCCTGCCAGCTGCAGAAAATCACAGCCCAGCAGAGACGCTCCTTGCAAATCAGTGCTCAGAGCGAAATAGGCTGGAGGAAGGGTAGGGGGAAAAAGAAAATTAATTTTAAAAAGGACATATAAGGAATAGGAAAATAACTCGTTTGACCCAAAAAAAGAAAGAGCTCTGCGGTACAGCTGCGTTGAGAGCACGGCACATGACAGCACGCCACGGCAGCAGGTTGCACGGGGAGTCATGGGGCAACGGCGTGAACCAAAGGGGTTGGGGGCTAACACAACATGCGCGGTGTGCAGCGACCCACCACATATTTCAGCAGTGCCTATTGTGCTGCTATCGACATTGCTACGCTTGAGGTTGTCCAGAGACAGCAAGTGGTACCAAACCCCATCAGCATCAGTCCAAGAGCTCTTTGTCTCTCCTGCTGTTGCAAACGCATCAAACACCTCCAGATGATCATTAAAGCGCGGGCTGAAGACAATGGCTCTTGTGCAGTTTAAAAAAAAAATAAATAAATAAAAGAAACAAAACACAATCAACCAAAACCAAAGTTTGGAAGACCTCTAACTGTTCCAGCTGATTTCAGGATTCGTGGTGTTTTGAAGCAATAATCCTTGCACACGCCAGCTAGACGGTGGGAAGCATCTTCTCCTTCGGCTTCCCTCCAGCACGTGAGACGGCAAACGGTGCGACGGAAAGGACAGTCCGGGACAGCCCCGGGGTGGCTTTCGGGGCTCAGCTAGTCACTGCTACGCAGCTGGGATGTGAAGAGGAGGTAGTCACAAGCTTGGAACACGGGTGGGCTCCTACAGCGACAGAGT